GGTAATATATTATAGATTCATAGAATTTGTTTTTAGTAATACTTTTAGTAAAACTCAATAGTTGGTAACAATTATTTCTATCTAGTGATTATCGCAGCTAATTGGTGGGCATCATATGGTTCTAAAACCCCAAACTTGCAAACTTTGCCATAAAAGTCCTTACCCTAACATGTAGTTCATCAGGTTGTGAACGAAATTGGAGTGTATTTGAACATGTGAGTATTTAACATTCTAACTAATTTTTTTGTTGAATTCAAATATTTTTTATTCTCATTATATAGAATTTAATATCTTTTTAATACTTGCAGCTTCATAGCAAGAAAAGAAATAAATTGGAACAATGTCTCAATGATTTAGTGTTTGTCAAATATAATAGAACATTGAGATTTAGATATGACATGTGCAACACTCTTGATCCCATATCTTTGCAAAATATTGATGAAAGCAATGAGTACTTACTTGGAAGGATGGATGGAGAATCAAATGAAGATAATGAGCTAGTGTTTGATGATGATGACGATGATGGTTTGACGCAGGCCACTGTTGCTAGAACTTCTGGAGTAGAAGAAAGTAGCCATGCAAGTAGAGCAACAAGTTCACGCTCAAAGGCACAACCGAAGATATCTAAATCATCAAGATTAACTCCACTTCAATTAATAGATGAGGAGGAAGCAGGCTCAGATGATACAGAAGAGGAAGATGTTGAGAGATATAAATCAACTGATGGAGAAGAAGATAATAGTTTGCTTGCCATTGATGTTGAGGATGATGATTGACTGACCGACCTAACCTACCCTTTCTTATGATATTGATGTTTTGAAGTGTTAAGACATATATTAGTATTTGTTGGATATTTATGTTTTGGATGTTTAGTGTTTATGTTTTTTTTATTTTTATTTTTATTTTATTGAATGTGTATTATTTTATCTTTGAAAATTGGAATGCTATGTAATATGTACTTTCATGGCTTTGAGAATTATTCTATAATTTGTCTTGAATCTTGATTACTTTTTATTTTAAAAAAAAATTTTGTCTTAGTACTATGAATGATAAGTCTATGTTAATTTTTCTATTTTTTACTAAGATTGTGCGCCTTACTTCAATAAAGCCCGCGCCTCGCCTTGCACCTTGCGCCTAGGCCCCGAGAGACCTTCAGCGCCTTAGTGCGCCTTGAGCTTTTAAAAACACTGCCTTGGAATACTTGAGTCTTTGTTACTTTAATGGGAAATTTAGTCAAAAGTCCCTTTATAAAATTGTGTAGTGTTAGAAGGACAAGTAAATAATTTCTAATGCATAAAGTCCTTTAAAATTTATTTATCATGATTAAGCACATAAAAAACATGTATTTTTAGACAACTTTGCCCTTTTATCTTTCATTACTTTTCTCTTCTTATTTCAACCATCAACGTGATAAAAACTCTCTCTCTCTCTATATATATATCGTCTTCAATATTCCAAGTTGAAAATTCCTACAAGATTACAAGAGATGGTTCCACAATCGAGTCATAAAACTTCGATAATTGCTATATTTCGAACCTTCTTTGTTGTATTTCGATGATTGTTTGGATCGAAACTTGCGATTGAGCCGTACAAGAGATGTATATTTTATTTGTTTCTTCAGATGAAATAGTAAATTATTGTTAAAAGATTTCTTGGTGAGATTGAAGATTGAACAATGTGTATTTTGTTTGTTATGATTACTTTTTATTGAGTCTGGTTGAATAACAATATTTTTGTTTGTTTTTATATTAATTTTACTTTTGTTTACTCAGCTAATATGTGTCTTGTGTTTTATTAGTTGATATGCTTTGTTTTAAAGTGACAGCAAAATTTTTATTCAATATTTCTGCTTGTGATGGTAACAATTATAGTGACTATGGTGTTTAGTGATAATTATGGTATTTTACTATTAAAACACTAAAATTTCACAATAAATTGGAGTAAAATTTTACTATGAGATAGAGTAAATTTTTATTGTTGACGTTAATTTCAACGGCAAAAATTTTATTATTATTTTTTAAAAGAATTTCATAGTCAACATGGATCTTATTTGATAGATATCTTGACGAGATGATTCTAAAAATACCAATTTTATTAAAAAGCGACATCTAGATCAAAAGTTATATCATTTTAAAGTTTAAAATATTAAATTACTCACTAAGGATATTTTAGTAATAGTGATGTGTGCTAGCCTTTTTAAGTAAAAATTTGTGTGCTTGTCTTTAATGCATGAAAGTTTTATTATGAGGGGGCTTTGACTAAATTCCCCTAATTTAATTTGTTTTCCAAGATTTTCTAAATTATAAAGAATGTATTGCATGTTAATAATCTTTACTTCAATATAAACAAATGTTGTAAAGACAATTGAAGCAGTTCAAAATTAATTAAAATTCTCAAATTTTTTGCACTCAAATTTTGAGATTCCATTAATTTCTTCCAGATAGGACTCGATGAGCTTCTAAAAAATCCAGCTATTTGTGTCTGTATGTATATCTTTTTATTCTTCTTCCTCCTACCCTCCTGGCTATGAACCAAAAGCAACTCTCAGATACCTTATTTAGTATACTGTCCAAAAGTTGCAGCAAGCCTTTTCTTAGAATTGCATACTAAAATTAGCCTTACGCCACAAACAGTTGAACCCCAATTCTACCCTAACCCTTTGATGCAAAGTGAAAGAAGCTCAAGGAAGAGTAAATTTAGAGAAGCAACGATATTGGGAAATAGGCATTATTTCAAAGAGAAACCGATAAGAACTATACATAATCATGCTTATATTATTATTAGAGTCTTATTTTATAATTATTTTATGTTTTTAGGATTTTTAAGCTTGGGGGTATTTTGGTAATTTGCAGAATTTTTGGATATGAGTTGTCTTGTGGGTCAAGTTATTTAATTAAGTTATATTTATGTTTCTTATTTTGTCTTAAATTGGTTTTGGAAGTTAAAGATATTATTGTAGTAGTTTTCATTTTTTGTTCTAGTTGGTTTAGAAAGTCTTCTAATTCTATATAAAGTCATGAATGCTTATAATTGAATAAAGTTGATATTTTAGAGAATTTTAGAGCTTTTAAAGCTTTTTTATGTATTGTGTGATGCAATCAAACCGTAGGTGTGATGCCTAAGGGATTCTAGAGGTGATTCCTAGATCTTTCTTCTTCTTCTCCTTCTTTCCCTCTTTTTATTTTCTGCACTTTTAACAGCCCAAAATACTGTTCACGAATCCACCATTAACAGGCTCATAACAGCCCCTAAAACAGTGTTAAATCAGCCCCAAAAGCCCACTGTCGTGGCTGTCCCTAATTGTCCTACATCACCCTTTTTCTTCTGTCCTCAATCATAAACCTACACATCTAATCCCCAGCCCAATATCAGTTGAATTTAGGCAGCCTTTGTCTCCTTTTTTAAGGTTATATCCACAATAAATCTATAACTACATGTTTTCAGCAGGGTGCAAGATTATTCCAGGCACTTGTCTCTCTAATGAGCATAATAATAATTTCTGAAAAATGATTACTGGTCTGAAGTTATTCCCATACAGTTGACCCACAACTTGGCTACCCACTTGATTGGGACACAAGGCTTAGTTTGGTCTGGTTTTAGGACTGACAAAAAAGATTTAACTTGTCATGAGTAGGTTGGTAGGAGTTTGCAAATTGATATTGCTCATCTCAAATCTGGTATACTCAATCAGTGAATATATTTTGATAAAAGATGTCTGAACAGTTTGAAAGGACGACAGTGTATGCAATTCTCGTAGTCTTGGTACATTCAACAAAAAGACCATTGGGTCTTCAGATTATTGCTAAGCACTTCTTTAGATTAATTGTGAATTTATTGAGGTCCTCAGTGTGATTGTCATTGCATCTTTAGGTTACACCATTGAGAAACCTTCAACCATATGATTAAATTTGCCTGCTTTTTAGCAGCATTTCTTCTACACTACTCCACACATAGTCAGTCCAATAAACAGAAAAAGAACTCTGGACAATGATCTGGTTAATGGTCTACATTTATTCCCCTAGGGTGGTGAATTGACTCAGAAAAGGAATTCACAGTTCTGTTCTGAGAGTAAAGGACTTACGCAGAAGATTTAACTGGTCACATGATTAGGTTAGTGAGACTTGCAAAATATTTCACGGGTAGGAAATGAGTAGATTTAGTTAGTCTGTCGACAATAACCCATATGGAATTCATACCTCGGGGCGTTCGGGGTAAGCCAACTTTTCTCAAAGAGCACTCAATTAGTAGAATAAATATTGATCAAACAGATCACAACAGATTGAAATTATGACCATATACGCAGTTGCTTCTTCTCAGAATTTAACAGAAAGAGACCACTGGGTCTTCAGATTGTTGCTGCACACTGGATGTTTAGATTACAAATTTAATTTACTGAGGCTCTCACTGATGGTTATTCTTAACAGAAATTATATTTAAGTCAATTATGTCATTGACTCATTTGGAAAGGTAAAATGATGACCAGATACTACATGCTTCACGTGAAAATACCTTGGAGGCATAGAAGCTAGTTTCACTAATTCAAGAGATCAGGTCTATGGTTAAACTACAGTAGTTAAACTACAAAAAAATAAAATAAAATGGAGGTTAAATCACCATAGAAAATTAGGAGTAAATCTGATATTCCTAAACACCACGCAAAAAACAAAAAACACAACAACAAAAGAACAAAAGAACAAACAAACAAAACAAAACGCGATAAGCTACCTGAGATTCAGATTTAAAATTTAAAAAATAAATAAAAATAAAAAATAGAGAAATAAAAGAATGCAAATAATTAGTTTTTAATTAATAAGCAAAGGACTATGAATATTGACATCCAAATACAGATTTCAAGAATAGGCTTTTAGAAAGCACTCAAAGTTCCCCGGCCCCCCTCTCCCCTTCACATGCACACAAAAGAAAACAACATATATATGTAAAATATGGTGGGAACAAATGGTATTCTTATGCTTTCATGATCAATAATTGAGCACACTTACAGTACGCTGTCCAGGAACTATCCTTGAAACAAGACGTAGTTCAAGCCGTTTTTCTGCTTTGCCATAGTACCACATCAATGCAGATTCATCCTGCAATGTAGCCAAAAGAACCTGAATAATGTCAATACAGAAAAAAAATCAGGGCATGCCACTTTGAGAATTGATATATTAATTCTCAATCTTGGTATCTCTTGAGGGAATATCAAACTACACCATGGATACTTTTCCACTCAGAATGGAGAAAATATATGGGGATCCTTGATGAAATATCAGCTTCTTTAGTTTTCTTCATCAAAATAGACCATAGAAAGAATGTTGAACCCCGTGAAATTTTCAAATATTTTGGGCTCCTGTGTTTAAAATTTCTTTGGTATGAAAAGTTTGAGTTGCTCCAGAAATTATTACTAAACATTTTATTAGACTTCCAAAGGAGAAAGAAGAAAATGCACATCCAAAACAAAGAGAGGATTAATGTAAATAAGTCACTATTTTGGTTTTGAGTCAGATTTGATCACATGAATTTTATTATCTTTTATTATTTTTCTTTTTCTTTTTCTTTTTCTTTTTCTTTTTTAATGTGAGCACTTTGGCGTTTATGCAATGTCAGTGGGTCTAGCAATGCCCCAGAATGGGATTGGTCATTTAATGTTCATGGTGGCATTGTTGTCAAATAACGAATAGAATCGTGAATCATTTTGTTAAAATAGTAAATCGTGAATCATATCGAATCATGAATCGTAAGATTCATTTTATTTAATACAATATAAAATTCTATATATTTATATACATATAAAAATACATACAGTGTTTAAAATAAAAGAAATTATCAATATAACTAAATTATATATGGATATATGGCCTTCTGATCAGAAGACTTTTAACTTTTGGGGGACCCACATTCCTCAGAAGAAGAAAGGTGAAGGGAGGTGAGAGGGCTGTGAGAAACCGAAGCTTCAGGAATAAGAGAGCATTTATTGAGATTAGAGGCGATTAGAGAGCTTGTGTGTGAACCTGTATCTGGGTTTTGCTCGGTGGCTGGGTTAAAAACCCCTGTTTGCATCACAGAGAGAGGAACAACACAGAAGTGCCCTTTACCTGTTCGACAAAATGCCCCAGTGAAACCTTGTCACTGTGCTGTCATAAGATGATTAAGGAGAAAGAGAAAGAGAAAGAGAAGGACAATGAGAGGGACAGAGAGGGTAGTAAGCTATCATTGAAGAAGGGCAAACTTGCCAAGAGCAAACTAGCCAAGGGTAAATCAAAAAGCAAATCTTCGACTAAGGTATCTTTGAAGGAGTTTGTAAATCAGGTGGATCAACTATCTACTGATGATATGCCTAATGTACTTCCCCGCCGGTCTACACGCATTCGAGGCCCCCCCAAATCTCTTTCACTTGGAGATTTTGTGGGACCGTGGCAAGGGTCCTCAAATGTAAACAAGAGGGGATTGAGGGACGTAGATTCGGAGGATAGCTCAATTGAGTGTGATTGTGATCTTGGTACAACACAATTTCGCTGGACTGTGGAAATGCAAGCCTCACCTGAGCAATCACCAAAGCAGCATCAAACACCTAATGCATGGAACACACCAACTAGAGTGCTAACTGATGTTGAGCAGTGGCCAAAATTGACCACTGTGTCCCCATTGGTGGCAAACGAAATGATGTTGTCAAATAAATTTGGCTCACTTAGTGCTGATCAAAGGAAAGAAGTAATGGGTTCCAAGCAACGAGAGAGTGATAAGCCCGTGCGAGCTTGTCGAAATGAGGATTCGGTTGATCTACATATGGAAGATGGTAGTGAAGGTCTGGATACACTTGCTATATCAGGTAAACCTCTACAAGTTGGGAGCTCTTTAATTAAAGAAGAGATTAACAAGGTGTCAAAATTGAATTATAAAATAGGTGTCCATAAGATTGAGAACCAAGTAGATGGCATTTACAATGTCCCTATTGAGATCTCAAAAAAAGGCTTTTCTCATTGGGAAAATGCTTTGGTTGGATACTTCATTTATAAAAGATTCTCTTTCCATTATGTGAAAACTTGGGCGGAGAAACTTTAGGGAAATTTGCTTGAGGACGTTGTCTCCATTGACAATAGTTTTTTTATTTTTAAAGTAAAAAGTGAAGAGGCTATGGACACAATCTTGGAAGATGGCCCCTATTATGTTGGGGCTAGATTGATTGTTATTAAAAAATGACAACCTGGACTAAAACTAACAAAGTGTGAATTTTCAAGTGTGCCATTGTGGGTGAAGTTGTACAATGTTCCTTTGGAACTTTGGAGTGAAGAGGGTTTGGGTTACATAGCTAGCATCTTGGGAACTCCTCTTTATTTGGATGAGCCAACTTTCAAGAGAAGCAGACTTACATTTGCGAGAATTTGTATTGAAGTGCCAGCAAATAAAGAGATCCCTAAGTCTTTCAAAATAAATCTTGGTTATGGTGACCCATATGAGATTCAAGTTGAGGTTCCATGGAAGCCCCAAAGGTGTGATGGTTGTAAGACTTTTGGCCATACCACTAATTTGTGCCCTCAAAAGCCAAAGTCTTTAAACCCTCCCTCCTTCAAACATGAGTGGAGAGTCAAGGACACTAAAACACAAAATTCCGACTAAATGGGAAGTGGTGAAGAAAAAGGGGAGAGATGGTGGGCAAGGTTCAACGCCATTGATCAACAAAGAGAGAGAGACGCAGTCTTCTATCCCCTCAACATCTAATGCCTTTGATGTCCTTGGTGATATGGGCGAGTTAGGAAATGGAGATTCAAGTCAAGAGTTGAGAAATAGAGGGAGTCCATCTCCAAGTGATCCTAGTTATGGGGAGACTTCAAAAGAGGATAACAGAAGAAAACTTAAAGCGAAACTTCATGACTTGAAGAATGCCAGAAGGAAATTCTGAATCCTTGTTTTGTTGGGAATGTTGTACTTGTTTTCTATAAGCTCAGTTTGTTTTTTGATGGAGTAGTTATTTTGTTTATTTTTGTGCTCCCATCAAAAGCTGTGTATTGAATTTCATTGTATATCTTTCTTTTTTGGTTATAATATGACTTACTTATCCAAAAAAAAAAAAAAATGATAAATTTAATATGATAACGGTAATGTTGGGGACCCCAGTGGGGGTGACCCCAGCACCCTCACCTCCACATGAGAGGCTGTCAATGGAAAAGAAAAATAAAAAAAAAAACAGTTTTGGACCAATCAAAATCAATGCTTATGCATTTTTGTTTGTCATTTGTGTTTTACCTCAAAAGGTGCTTCCTCAAAGGAAGTGTGTCATGCGATTTATCAGTATCATTGCAATTGATGTGAGATGTCAACACACATGTTAGATAAAAGATTTTGATTAACATTTGACGGTTAGGTTTGTTACGTCATAATTATACAAACAATAATTTACAAGAGATTACACTAAGCAGATCCCATATATCTTGAATCTCGAGTATATTTATTAATTGATCTGTAAGAGGCATGAAAAATCATTTTAATAAGTTATTAGACTTTGAAATTGTAGGAGAGGGTTCAAAAAAAGAGTTGGAAAATTCGAAGATCTTCGAAGATCCTTGAAGAACAATTTCGATGACTTCTCGATGCTCACAGGCATCGGGGGGGAAGTGGTGAAGAAAAAGGGGAGAGATGGTGGGCAAGGTTCAACGCCATTGATCAACAAAGAGAGAGAGACGCAGTCTTCTATCCCCTCAACATCTAATGCCTTTGATGTCCTTGAATCGTGTGACATGGACGAGTTAGGAAATGGAGATTCAAGTCAAGAGTTGAGAAATAGAGGGAGTCCATCTCCAAGTGATCCTAGTTATGGGGAGACTTCAAAAGAGGATAACAGAAGAAAACTTAAAGCGAAACTTCATGACTTGAAGAATGCCAGAAGGAAATTCTGAATCCTTGTTTTGTTGGGAATGTTGTGCTTGTTTTCTATAAGCTCAGTTTGTTTTTTGATGGAGTAGTTATTTTGTTTATTTTTGTGCTCCCATCAAAAGCTGTGTGTTGAACTTCATTGTATATTTTTCTTTTTTGGTTATAATATGACTTACTTATCCAAAAAAAATATATGGATATACATATAAAATCATGTATAGCAATATAACTAATTACTTTCTTCTATATATTTTCATAGTTTGGCAACAACGATGTTGTTTCATGCATTATGTAAACAAAAATAGAAATCGCAGTGAATCGCAATAAATCGTACTGAATCATAAATTGAATCATACGATTCACTCAATTTCCGATTCAACAGCATGATTCAAATCGTTTTTGTTGAAACTTGTATCAAATTGTATGAATCAAATCATGAATCGTACCATTCTAAAAACCATGCATAGTGGAATAAAAACAAATAACAAAAAGTTTAAGTAGAAAAAGGCTTGATCAAAGCATAAAAATCAACTAACAAAAGCCTAGCTTTTTAAATGCAATAATTTTATTGAAGTGTTCTTGTTTTTGAGACGTTGCCTGCGTGATTCAAACTACTAACCAAGCACTCAGCACCACACACATTAACCACTCAGCCAAAGCCAAGCTTGTAAGTGTTCTTGTTCATTTACAAAATTAAAGTGGCTTGTTCATTTTTGTGATTTTTGAGCTAAGAAGCATGGACACACAACACAACAAGGACATGCAACATGAAACGTACACACCCACACATGGGACACACACCCAAAATATATGGTTTTATGCATTTATTCTATATCATATATATGAATGTTTCAATCAAAAATACTAAAAACATGCAACATAACACTGATTCCTAAAGTTTAAACGAGGAATTAATAGGTATAAATCTATATTTTTTTTTCTTGTGTATCCTAATTTTATTCAAACTTATAATGTGTTTTAAGAAACATCAACATTTCTAAGAAGGTAGTGTGCCATCTCGGACACTAAGATGACACGACACACTTCAGACACTTCTCAACACTTATCAGACATTTATACATTTATTCAATGTCATATTTATGAAAATTTCAATCAAATATAATAAAAAAAAAATGCAATATAACAGCAATTCCTAAAGTTTAGCGACGAAGGAATTAATTAATAAGTATAAATTTATATTTTTTTTTTTAATCATTATATCCTTATTTTATTCAAACATAATGTATTTTATACTAAGAAATGGCGACAGTTCTAAGAAGGTTGTGCGTCGTCTTGGACACTGAGACGACATGACACTCTTTGGACACTTCCCAACACCTATCTGACACATGTCCAAACATGTCTTACTATTTTTAAAAAATTCTAAACTTGGACACACTTAAGAAAATTAGGGTACAAATGTCATTTAGACATACATGAAACACACTATAATTTTGAATAAAACAACGTGGAATCCAGTGATTAAAAAAAAAAAATTATACCTATTCTCAACCTTTAGACTTTAAAAATTATTATATTTGAATTAGATATTCAGAAATATAATATATAATAATGGTTTATCCTTATCCCTATTGTTTAATTTAATAAATATATAAAACTATATATTTTACGCAACCCCCCACGTCATGCCCTAAAATTTTTGTCTCAGCATGTTCATGTTTGTGCTTCTTAGGTTTTATGTGTCTAAGAAATAGACATGTGTGTCCCAATAATGGACACGTGTAAACCCAAAGTGAATGAAGCATCTCTAGGTCAATTTTTTTTTTTTAAATAATATGACAATTGGAAATGTGTCTGCCATGTGTCCAGAAAATAATATGACATTTGGATGTTGGACACAAACATGCATCTTCTTAGCTTTTAAGTACGTTTTGATTATTTGTTATTAACTTTATTAGTTATATTATTCACAATATACGATTGTAGTCATTTATTAATGTTGTCACCCAACCTTTATTACAATTCTATTCAAAGTAAAATAATTAAGTGACAATATTTTCTCTTTATTTAGCATAAAAATCGCATTCATAATGTTATTGTTAGTTTACGTTTATTTTGCATTAATTGAATCAATTTGTAGGACGTTTTACGGTTCGTTTGGGATGTAACTTTTTGACTTTTTGGCTAAAATATGAAGTGAAAAAAATCAATATGTTTGGAAAGGACTTTTTGACTTTTTACACACACACACACACACACACAAAAGAGAGTAGAGTGAATGGAAAGAATCTTGAACTTTTGTGTATGAGTTGAAAATTTATTGGAAAACAAATTTTGGCTTTTTTAATGGCTTTTTGGCTAAAAGTTACTTGCCAAACGAGGCATTATCCTCCCCTCCTTCCCCACCCCCACCCCCACCCCCAAGAAAGAAAGAAAAAAAAAAAAAAGAGAGCAGAATCTTGATTCCACCACTAACTGGAGTAATTAGTTTGGTAATGATTCTACCAATGGGGCCTACATACCATCTTAACATGTCCTAGATAGATCTCAACGTTAGGACATTGTGTAGTCATGATGGTGACAAATGGGATGCATTACACCCTCAAATAAGTCAAAGTGCAAATATGTCAGCAGAGGACCGAGACTTGGCTAGTTGTATATAATAGAATTGTTTCACTCTCTGCATGGCGCATGTGTGTTGGTTGTGATACTTTGTGTTCTTTGCATTTGATTACACTTGTTTCTTCCCCACAATGCTATAAAATATTACTATCTTCCTAAGGTGGGAACGTTGCTATATTACTTATTGTTCCAAGACAAGACTCATCCCCTCATTTCAGTTCATCTCTATCTCAAATTCTTAGTCACTCGATTATCTCTCTCTCTCTCTCTCTAATACTATTTATCTTTCCAAGATGGGAACGTTTCTATATTACTTTCATCCCAAGACCAGACTCAACCCCTCCTTTCAGTTCCAAAAATGCTAGACCCAAAAGAATTACCAAATATTCTACACAATACTCACATGGGTGTGGGTCCAGTGGTCTGGGTCCCACCCACACCCATGTGAGTATTGTTTATTGGGAAATTTGCTTAGGGTCTCTCTCTCTCTCTCTCTCTCTCTAATTTTTGAACACCCATGCATGGAGAGTTCTGTTTGAATCATTATGTATGTAAGTGAGTTGAATGTATCTTTGATTTTGATGTTTGCTAAGAGAGATTGGAAGAGAGTTTCTTTCCTCTCGGAGTTCGCTCAGTCTCTTACTCCATCAAAAATGAATGGGATGTTTCTCTCTTTCAATTTTTTTTTTTTTTCTCCACTTTCATACCTGTATTTTGCCCAATTCCTTGTCCCATCAAAACTCGATGACCCAAATTGTCATCGAGTACTATGGTTTGGAAGGATGATATGGTCAAAATCGGTTGATGGAACCCTTAACCCAATAGGATTAATTCAGGTGAGGTATAACGGTAAACCCAGTCCGATCCAACCCGTGAAGAATCCTACTTCATAAAAAATGGCTGAGTGTGTAATATTTGTAGACTGGAAATAACCAAACCAAACTAAGCCTTGTCTCCCACTCAAGTTGGGTCGGCTACGTGAATCATTTTTCAGCATTCAGTTGCAGATTGTGGAAATATGCCAAAATATTTATAGAAGTCTTAACTTCCTCTTTTCCCTAGAATTTTAGATGAAGAACTTGCACAGGAAAGGAATAGTGTGTGAAGTTTTTAATTTAAATGGACACAAAGAAACTTACAGTAGAAAGTCGAAAAGGGCAGAACTTTGGCTTCCCTCTGCGCCCATACTTAAGCAAATATGCTCCTTTCTTAAGGGCTGTAATGGCCTGTAAATTAGATTAAAATAAAAGGGCAAAATCCATTTACCCCTTGTGGTACGATGCTGCAACACTTTACTCCCTGACTTCTAAAACTAGTCAAATACTCGTGTGGTTTTGGACTAAGCTACAATACTAACTTTGTTAACATTAGCAATGAAAAGATAGTTATACCCTTCTATCTTCTTCCTCTACTTATTCTCAAACAAAAATCAAAAATCAAACTTGCCATCATGACCTCTATTTATGGAAAAAAAAAAAAATTTTAAATGATTTCTCCTATTTTTCTAACCTAATTTTTAATTTAATAACATATGCATATATATACTATATATACATACACACTATGAAATTCCCAAAAAAATGAAGGGACTGAATGCAAAATCACAAAATAAATGGGGCTTGGCTTGATTGGTCTGCCAAATGCATGAGGACTCCACAGTAGGTTAGATCTTAGAGGCGGATTTCCTTCTTTTTTTTTTAACTTCAATTGAGTTTGTGCCACTGTAATAGGGTGGCAGAACTCAAATGGCAGGAATGATGGGGTGCGAAAGGGGGTGGCAACAGAGGGAAAAAGGAAGACAGACTCACAACATTATGACTGTATCCATATTTGGCGAGGAGGAGAATGGAGGGAGTGACGGGAGAGGTGCTTGGAAGTGGTAGGAGGGGTTGGGTGGGTTAAGTTGGGTTTTCGCATGAGTTAGATACAAGATGAAGATAAGGGCAATATTATATTTTTACTTTGAAATTTGACTTTGACTAAAAACAATTCTTTCCAACTCTCTTACCAAGTGTGTGTAGCATAATTTTTGTTTATTTGAATGAAAAATAACAATATCCAAAACCACGTGAGGCCGTGAGGGGTATTTGGCTACTTTTAAAAGTCAATAACGTAAAGTACTCCAGACCATACCACGAGGGCGTAAAATGAATTCTTCCCAAAGAACAAAGCCAAAACATTAAACATTAATTTAATGTCTCATACAAGAACATAGGGCAATGACAGAGATAATGCATTTAGGGTGCATATGTCTTAGTCCAGTGCTAGTGGGGTTCAAACATCACAGTGCTTTGTCATTCAAAGCCCTCTTAATACACAAATTTTGTTTACATTTACTTGACTCCTTGGTACAAAGTTGTTCTCTGTACAAGAAGAAGAGAAATAATGACAATAAAGCGTGGAAACTAACGAGGAAGGCACAATGATGATATTTACAGCCATTCACAAATTTTGCAAATTATTACACAGCTACGTAAGCATAAAAGAAATGGCATAATCAAGAGACCTGATGATATTATCAAAGCTCTAAGTACCATCTATGAAGCACGGTTATAGATATGGCAATACAACAAAACTAAAAAGTTTAAAAAAAAAAAAAAAGGATAGGGGTACCAAGAAAATACGATTGTAAAAAACAAATATATATATATATACCTTCTAGTATTGTATTAAAAATTTTAATATTAGTTTTAGAGTCATTAACCAGCTACTTTACCTGTTTCAATAGGTCCTATATAAATTTCATTTCAATATCTAGTCTACACTGCTTATATTGCCCTTGTACTTTTCCCTTTCATACTTAAATGTGCAATGCAAAATTGTTGTACACAAATTTACTTGCTTGTTTAATTGTTGAAATCCAATATTAGTATTATTATATTTATTTTTACTTTCTAGAAGTATGGATATGGATATCAAACAAATGTAAGGCACATTAAAAATATATCAATGCAATAAATTTTAAAAAATAGGTTACTAGTTTAATCTCACTATTTTCTTTTTCTCTAAGAAATAAGTGAAGTATTGAAAATTATTTTTGTATGTATTATACCAATTATACTCTTATGCTATACAAGATTATTATAATATTAATTTCATAATAGTTTGAATATGTGACCTAAATTATCCAAAAAGTATCTGATACTTCTCAAAATTAAAGAAAATTAATTTCAAGTATCAGACACATTTATGAAGTATCAAATATATATCTGTGAGTATCTATAAAGTATCAGTATCTCATGCGGAGAAGTATTTGTCCTTTATAGATTATGAAGCACGGATACCTCAAAAAGGGAGATGTATCCGTATCGGATACGTATTGGATATCGATACTTCTTGGATACTCGCGGATACATATCGGATACTTCTTAATTAATTTTGGAGTATCGAATACTTAATTTTGAAGTATCGGATACTCAAAGTCACATATTACTTCTAATACTTTGTTTAGTTTTTTGATAAGAGGAATATAGTGAGAGTTAAAGTAATAGAATTTGTCAAATTGATGTATCCTTATTGTTTTATGCATGTCCCCTATAACTACATAAAAAGTAAGGAATAACAAGAGCATGTAACAATAGTAAAATTAAATATCAATATATAGGCAAGTAAACCTAAATATAACAGTTTTGCCAAAGGGAAAAGCACAAAGACAAGTTGTGGATTGTTCTATTATTGTATTATAAACATATTAAACTTGATATTGAAATGAAATACTTGCAAGACCTTTTGTCTTAATTTAATACCTAATTCTTAAAGGTCTGTGTTTTGTATTATAAAATTATGTGGTTGCTCAACATTCTTGAGGTTATGCGTAACTCACTCCTAATAATTTAAACATAAAAAATAAAAAAATTACAAACGTATCCTAGCTGTATCTATATCCTATTTTTTTAAGTTTTGTCGCATCGCATCATATCCGTATATGTGCTTCCTAGTTTATAGAGAACCATAGTAACATGAAGGGATGTTCCATCAGCCGATTTCTCAAGTAAGAGCTTCCAAAAAGTTCACCATGAGTCATGATTATTCATAAACTAAATTACTATGAAGAGTGCATCTATCTAGCTGTTTGGAATCCATTATTTGGAATTGGAAGTAGAGACCATTTCTCTTGAGTTTATGCGTAACTCACAACTAATAATTTAAACATAAAAAATAAAGGCTGTGTTTGGTTGTGCTTTTGAAATGTGATTCAACATGCTAGTTTCAGCTCCATGTTTGGTAAGAGTTTTGGAATTAATTTTCCAAAACTCTGCCGAAAGCTCTGTCCATTCTGCGCGTTTCTTGTATTTTTTTTGGCCAGGGGAAGACCGCCCGGTCGTCCCTAGGGACTACCACCCGGACGTCCTTGGGGACATCCACCCGGATGTCCTCTGCTGTACAGATTTTTTTTTTTTTATTTTTATTTTTTTTTTTTTTTCAATTTTTTGAATTTTTTTTAATTTTTAATGTGCTTTAAAATAATTTTGAGTTGTATGTTTAGTTAGGAGTTGTAAATTTTTGTATCACATATCAAATATCACATCAACAATTTCCCACTCAAATCAAACCTCTTTTTCAAAACTATTTTCAAAATTCTTTACCAAACAAATTTTCTACACTCAAATCATAATCCTACAACACACAAACTCAAAATACAACTCATACTCTCAAATAACATTTACAAAACACAACCAAACGCAACCAAAAAAATTACAAGCGTATCCTAGCTATATCTATATACTATTTTTTTAAGTTTTGTCGCATCGCATCATATCCGTATATGTGCTTCCTAGTTTATAGAGAACCATAGTAACATGAAGGGATGTTCCATCAGCCGATTTCTCAAGTAAGAGCTTCCAAAAAGTTCACCATGAGTCATGATTATTCATAAACTAAATTACTATGAAGAGTGCATCTATCTAGCTGTTTGGAATCCATTATTTGGAATTGGAAGTAGAGACCATTTCAATACCAATTCCACGTCGTAAGGCATAAATAACATGCAAAGAAACATCACAGAGTTTGAAATAGCCCCTTTTGATAATACATACATATGGAAGGATATTTTACCTGGTCAATGTCTCTTTCGGCGAGACCAACCCTCTGAGCATCAGCCATTCAAGTTGCAAAATCAGGGGAAGCCCAGCTATAGACCGAAAACCCATTTGAACAATCCAAAGTACAACTCCGCCCCATAAACAAATCACTCAAAAACTCCACTCCACACAAGCTCATGAACTTGAACAGCCCAATCCCTCAGTCTACCTCATCATTTTTCTATTATACCCTCAAAAAACCAAATTAACACAGCTCATCAACTCCTCCTCTAAGAAAAACCCTTAAAATCGAAAACCCAGCAAAACTCACACCTCAGTAGTGGTACCATACATTTAGAGCTAAACCAACCAAAATCCAGCTCTGTAACAGAGCTCAAACCAGATTTACACAAACCCTAGGTATTCAAAAGCCCAATCCAAAGCCTCAGAGCTCTCGGATTTCATTTCACACACATAAATCTTCAAAAACCCATAAAAATCCAACCTATGACTGCGTATAAGGAAAATGGGAGGGGTCGAAATTACCTACATTTGTAGATTTTTCAAAACTGGGCCATTGTGGACGAATCTGAGGTCGTTGAGCTAGAAATGGTGAGCACAATGCGGTTGAAGAAGTAAGAGATTCGCTTCAAATACAAAAAAATGGCGTCAAAGCTTGTGATTTCGAGAGGAAATTAGAAGAAAAAAAAAAAAATCGGTTTGTTCGTTTGTTTGGATTGAGAATGTAAAGAAGAATGAATAGAGGAGGGTTGTTGATTGTCTCTTTCTATGTCTACAGCTTTTAACATGGACTTTGCTTCTGTTGGCGACACGTCAGCAACTGAATCTGGTAATTTTTTGATTATGATAGAGAGAGAGAGAGAGAGAGAGAGGGACGGCTGAGTTTGGTGGTGAGCTTTTTGGCCTGGTTGATGAATCAATCCAAAAAAACAAAGTATATGCATATATTTTGCTTTTGTTTGTTTCGGGGATGTCTGGTAAACGACGTCGGGTCCTTTAAAAAGTGATAAAATGTGTAATTTTTTAACTTTCATTATTTTATTATTTTTTAAAGGTAAAGAATTCTCTATTGGAATGGGAATTTGGAGTGGTTGATGCAAACTTCTAGCAATTTATAAAAAATAAAAATAATTTATTTCTCTAACTTTATAACAATTCATATATTTAAATTATTTTTATTTTTTAAATTATAAATAGATGTTGTATAAAATATTCTAACATAAATTTTTTTAAAAAAAAATTATAACTTTATAAGATGCACGGTTCAAACTCAATTCCGCAATATAGAGAGTGAGTGCACTTCGTGGATAGGCCGTCATACTCTGAGAGAAGGAGGCTTGCACAAGTAATGAATGATAAGGCTGTCCGATTGGGATTTGGTCGAAAACCCTTTCGATGGTAAAGTCAGGCTGGAGAGAGAATAGAGAAGACGAGTATATAGAGAGAGTGTAAAATGTATTTAGATCCTTAATACAAGGGGTGAGGTTACCTTCTATAGGAAAGACTTGACTTACTCATCAAGCTCCTCTCTTTGTCACCTGACCCTCTTCCTTTAAGCTAGGTCTCTCCTTATTGAAGGAGGGCAACAAGTCTGCCATGCACTTGAATGAACCGTTTCGTGACTCACAAGGGGTCATGTTCTTTCCATGTGTTAGATGTGAGTTAGTTTGTGCAATTAGGTTGCTATGGGTCCAACCAGATTGTACCAGATGCTCTATGGATAATCCAGCTCATTGATTCAAGTTGGTCGGTCCAACTTAGTTGCATTTGGCCCAAGTTCGTACTTAGGCTATGTAGTTCGGACCAACCAACGAGCTTGGCCCAAGTTTGTACTTGGGCTATGTGGTTCAGACCACTCGGTTCGGTGGGCTTAAGCTCGTACTTGGTTTTCATGTTTGGTCCTTCGGTAGTTCTCTAGTTCAAGTGTGTAGACACCCCATTTTTTACCAACCTTAAGACTCAAACGTCACCAATTGAGCTCCTCGGTGATTATGCATATTGTGCTCGTTCTGAGGTTTCAGAGTCTCGGCTGCGAGCCTTGCCTCCGGACTTCAGGGCTCTTTTGTGCTTTGTCTCGGTTTGCGAACCAGGTCTTGTTTTTTCTGTTTTCTCTTCCCGAAGGAAATGAGAGGTCTCGTAAACCATCTCTTAGTGGCCGTAGGCTACGTTTCGTGGTCGTAGGCCATTTTTCTTGTTTGGAGCCCAGTTTTCGATTTTTAGAGCCGTCAGCCGTGTGCCTCAGTTCGGGACCACTTAACTACCTCCGTTTGCTCTGGTTTTTGGCACACACCTTGTTTCCTCTTTTTTGAGGGACACTGTAGCCCAAGAGACCACCTTCGTGGTCATATGCCACTTTTGGTGCCTAACAGCCTTTTTCGGGGCCCCAGACTACGCGTTTTGGCCCCCGAACCTTCGTTTTGCATCCGTCTTGGTCCATTTTTGGTAGGGACCCTATTTTCATTGCTAGAGAGGTGGTAGTATGGTGGGAGGGCACCTTTTTCCCTTGGAAACCAGCTTTCTCTTTTTCTCTCTCTTCTAGCCGGTTTTTCTGACAGAAAGCTGGTTTTTCTCACTTTTGAGCCACAATTTCTGGTTTTTCATACCACCATTGTGTTGTGCTCATCTGGGAGGCCACCAATATGGGTAGGCCGACTAGTATTTCTTCTTGACCCTTTTGAACCTTGCTAAAAAGCTGGTTTTCCTTCTCTCTTAGGTCACTTTTTCTGGTTTTCCACCATACAGCTGTGTTGCACTCATCTGGGAAGCCACCTTTCTGGTATGGCCAGCCAGCATTTCTCCTTGACCCTTTTGGCCCCTGGTCAGCCGACCAGGGGGAGTGGCCATCTGGGAGGCTACCTTTCTAGGGTGATTGGCCAGCATTTCTCCTTGAACCTTTTGACCCCTGGTCGGCCGACCAGGGGGAGTGGCCGGCCGACCACCTTAACTGGTCGGCCTGCTTTCTGCTTTTTGGTCTCTTTGAGTGTAAGCCAGCTGTGCTAGCTGGAGGCCTCAGAAGTGATCCTCCATATGTATGGAGGATCTCTGAGCTTGGTTTGAAGCTTCTTAGAGAAGCTTTGGCCTCTCTTCTCTATAAAGGGAGGCCTCCTCCTCCATTTGCAAGGGTTAGAAAAAACCAGCTGAGGAATATACATACAACTCTCCATATCTCTCTCATCCATGCTCAAAACACCCTTGTTCTTGGTCATTTTACACTACACCTCATAGCGTACCACCTCCACCATCCATTCAAGCATCTTGGAGGTCATTTGCAAAGCTTGAGGAGTCACATTCTTGGTCCAGAAGTTGCTGAGGGTCGGCTTTACAAGGGTAAGCTCCTATTTTTCCCATTTTTGCATTATTTTGCTCCATAGTTTAGCCTTATTTGCAAGCATTTTTGGATTTCGACATAAACTAGAAAAAATCTTGTTTTGATCTTCTAAACATGTTTGTTTAAGGACTCTTTTCTGTTTGGGGTCATCTTCCCCCTTCCATGCTTCATTTCCTCATGTTTTGAGCCTTGTATTTGAGCATTTACATTGACCTTGGTTTGGCCTTTTAGATGTGTTTTTGAGCTTCAAAATCAGAGAGGGGTGACCCTCTCACCCCTTGTTCTCTTTACTAGCATTGTTGGCCTTCCAAAGGGGCTCCATCTTGCATGCTTTGAAGTCTTATTTCAGGCCCTATTTTGTGAGTTTTAAGGTCTGCCTTGACTCTTTTCGGAGCCCCTTTGGCCATATTTTATATCTATGATGTATGTGTAGAACAATCTCATTCAAGGCCTTTCAAAGGGACCTTTCATTGCATGCTTCCTAGATCAATTTCAGGCTCTTTTTGGTGGGTTTTAGGGCTGTCATAACTCATTTTTAGAGGTGGTTTTGCCCTTTTATTTGTCTATCATGTATGTGTAGAACAACCCCTTGCATGGCTTTCCAAAGGGGCTCATCATTCTTGCATGTGTTGACTGAGTTTCAGTGGTTATTTAGGCATATTTTGGCATGAAATACTTTTGTTTTTCGCTGGTTGGGTGAGCCCTCATATGCTTCATATAGTTATAAAACAACTCATGGTTCACTAGCTTTCTTTGCATGCTTTATAGGTCATTGATTCTAGCGTATTTTGGCCATGCCTTAAACTGATAATGTGCTTATTTTGGACTGCCCTAGCTCTGTTTTTGGGTCTTGTGGTTGAATGATGTTAGTTTTGCATGCTTGTAGTTCAAGGTCCATGCTTAGCTTTGAGTTTTTGAGATCCATTCCATGCGTATACTGAGGTGTGTTCATGTTTTGAGCCTATTATTCATCAAATTTCAGAGCTTATACGAATGCCATGTTGCCATGTTTTCATCTCTTTAAATGCGTTTGAGAGTCGGGCTTGTATACCTTATTTACTAACCATTGAATGAGCTCCATTCCGTTGAATTCCGAGCCATCATTTTAGGCCATTTCCCCACTGTTTCAGACCTGCCTAGGGTTTGTTTGGGGTTGATTTTTCCATTAGTGCATTGTTTTGGGTACCTCTAGAGCAACGCACCTCACTAGTTTCGGTACCCGGGCCCCCTAGCTTGCATTGTGTGCCATGTTTGCATGTTTCGGGACCATTTTGTATCATGTTTTAGAGCTAGAATTTGTGTGTTTGTATGCCATGCTTCATCATTTACCATGCTTTGGTAGAGTGGCATTTGATGCCTTAGGATCGATCCCTTGCATCGTGCATGTTTGCATGTCTTTCGGTTGTCTCATTTTCATCTCATGACCACTGATGTGAGTGTGGCTGAGGTCCACTCATGTTAGTGTAAGTCCATCGTACATTGTGTATGCCATTTCGGTCCATAGCATTGTGTATGCTGAGTTGCATGTTAGAGCATTGTGTATACCATATTACATCGAGCATTGTGTACGCCATTTCATAGCATTGCGTATGCTAGGTTGTACGTTAGTCGCATTGTGTATGCCATCTCATTTGCATCGTGGTTAGGATAGGAGTTAGCCCAAGCACGGGAAACGAGGGACGTTTCGTACTCCAAGTGACGGAACGTGTCTCAATTCCCGGTCGCCGACACTCCGGATTACCCATGATGGAGTTTAGGTCTTGTTGTGTTTATACGTGCATTCATTTCACATCGAGTCATTCAATTTGACCCCTCGGCCATCATGCATCGAGATGCGTGATTGGTGGCACGAGGATCGAGAACTACACTCCCTGAAGAGTAGTCATGCATATATATGTGAAAATTCTTTGTTGTGCCCCTTTCTTGCTCTCTGTTGCAGCAAATCAAAAATCAACAGCCTTCTAGAGCCTTGCATAGCATTCCGGGATTAATTGCAAACAGAGGCGAATCGAGGCATCGCAATGGATTTTTGCGCCAGGCAACTCAAGCATGCATCTTCCATCATTCGGAACAGAGCTGAGGCAGTCCATAAGCTTGCATGCTAGTTTATCCGCTTTCCTAGTTAATTTGTTAATTAATTAGGTTTTTGTAATATTTAATTATTTATTCGGACTGTATTATTCTTTCGGACCCTCCGAGCGAGGGCACAATTGTAATAAGTGTACGTGCGTGTGATGTATGTATTCCAACCTCACGTCTTTCTCCCTTTTATTTACCAGCTTATGATGGTTAGATTAGGGCATGTTTCAATTAGCATACTTATGATTGCATGTTTGCATCATTCATTTGTTTTGCATGCACCGGGCTCGGCGCATCATATTAATTGCATTTGTATCTCAATTCCGAGTTGAATACTTGTTAGCTGTAGCATTTCACATGTCATTTTAGAAAAGCCGAGCCTATTGTAGTTGCATTTTTGCATGTGTTGCATTAGGCATTTCTGTATAGTTAGGATCATGCATGGATTTCTAACATAGCTTCTGTTTTGGCTTGAAGT